CCAAGAAATATTCGAAATGGTATTTCGTCGATACCACACTCATTATGATGGGACATCGCAATTAAATAAATATTTAATTTAGATTTCTGTTCATCAAGGCACCAGCAGAGAAACGTACAAAGTTATAGTAGGAGAAGGAATTCTAAATGTATTTTGCTGATCGTAAGTATTGCCGCATTCCTTGTAAAATGTTGATTATTTGGCGCTCCGTAAAACGTGCTTAAGGCAATACATATTACGCTTGACTTGAGCCCATCTTACCGATCACCAAAGAACTAATAATTAATACGTTGCTTTTATAAATTGCGCATTTTTCTAATGATGTTGCCACAGAGAAGCTTCTTCTACTGTATAATTAGTAATATTTTTCGTCATTGGTTCCCGCACGTTCCAGCAAATCCTCAGTAGTTTCCGGTGACATTCGCGTGAAACTTAAACTTTCATCGGTCAGAGTTCAGTTCAATAAATACATTTTGTGACGTATTTTATCGCCCCTATCCTGAACAAAAGAACAAGTCCAGTTAGTAAAAGACTTACAACCACTCCCAGATCATAAGTTCACCCGTAACAAGCTCATCCTCCGACATCCTGTTCGTGACTGACTAATTGGTGCGCAATGATGACCATGAATCAGGTATGTCTTATGTTCCTTGTCTTGACTAACCGGAGTGCGTCCGATCTTAAGCCAGCCAGTCACTTATCGATTTGCGTTCACTAAACCACCGAGCAGCGATACATTAAACTTCATGAAGACACTTCAAAGACAAAATGATAATATTAAAAGGCTGTTATTGCAATTGACTGTAACAATGTCAAGTATTTTTTGTTTCAGGCTTGTTCTAGACATCGCAAGTAGCAGCCATGGTGGCCCCGTCATCACATTCAGCTCCAATGGGGGTAGCAATCAGAAGTGGTTCTTTGATGACGACTTTACCATCAGGAGCGGTACGGGAATGGTTCTGGATGTCGAAGGCGCCAATATATACCAAGGAGCGCGGTTGATTGGGTTCCGAAAACATGGCGGACAAAATCAGAAGTTTCGAATTGAACCTTACAACAGAATGTGGTAGAAAGGGATCACAAATCTGTGCAGTCAGTATGGACGAGAAATCATAAATCAGAAAGTTTATAGGATATGACATCAGAAGAAATAAGTGAGAAAGCAAAATTACAAAACGTTAATCCTGAACCACATCCTGAAGAACTTGACGGCAATATACGTTACACCACTCCAGAAAATCACAAGCTTACCTCAGCGTTACAGCAATAAAAGCGTTTGTCTACTTTTCTTAATCCGTTTCTAACAATAGCGCATCGCACAAATTCATAATATTGAACACTTCACTCCCGAAAGAAAGACTGAAATGTATTTTTGTGACACAGGAAATGTATGAAATGCATTTTGGAAACACACACAGGAACTACTTACAGAATGCGGTTATACATGTTCGAGGACATTGATGTAATTTTAAGGAAACAGAATTAATTAAAAGTGATTGAATATAACAACTCTTGATAATCTGCAACCACTTGCATTACGACTTATTTATTTATTTTAAGTTTTTGATTTTTAACCATTTGTATGAGCATGTGCATTTCATATCTGTGAGATATAAATCTCAACGTAAAATGAAAATATGAGAAACTGTAAACTGTAGTCTTGCCTAACCTAAACGACGGGTAGATACGTTTGTTCAAAACGTTCATAAACACCTACAAGATTATACATGTCAGAATCCACAAGTGCATAACGGGTCTCATATTATTTACAGAATATACAAAATATATTATATTTCCTATAACTTTTATCAGAAAAGCTCAAATATGAGGATCTGGAGGTTCTGTAGCTAGTAAATATGAGGCAGAAATGGGTTGGGAACATTTGCTTAAACATACAGGAGTTCATAGAGATGTATTGCTGACCCAACTTCCCGACAACCTCAATTTAAATCCTATGTACTATCCAATTTTCAGACTTGACCACTGCTTTTGTCGAGTCAACTAAAAGTCAATATGGATGAAGTCATTGTCATAGTTTGACGAGCGCAGGACGACCACGTAATTGGGTGTCAGCTGAATTGACGGCCGTGACATGCTACTGGATAAACGCCAATGCTGTTTATTAAATGGGCAACAAATACGTTTTAACCAACCAGAAGTTTTGAAATAATTTTGAAGCATTCATTCTGAAATATTTAAACTAGTTTTATATAGTCAGTTTGAACACAGATTATATTGTAATCTGTCAATAATTCATCCACTGATGCCAAGAAACTCCTGAGAAAAATTTGAAAAGAATTTGTTTAAGATTTATATAATTCACGCCTACTACGAAATAAACATTCATGAACACAAAATGGCAAAATAGGTTTTTCAACCGAAATAGTAATTACTCTAGCTCAGAGCATCAGTTTAGTCGTGTCTAAAAGGCATGCGCAGGAAGGCCGTATGCTTCTATTGCGGTCTCTCACGTAGGACACAACAAGCGATTCCCCGCTTCATATGACACCCCGAGCTGCTTATGCAGCTCGCATAGCTCGATTGTTATCGCTTGCGTAGGACATTGCCTTGGCTTCTGTATCGTGTTCCAAGAAACACACATTTATCTAAACGGTATAATCAGAGCCATAACTGATATTAAGCGTTATTTGCACTCAAATGTCTATGGCGTCAGAGGATTTTCCTATAGACTCGCTCCACAGGCATATGATGAGCACCTTGTTGGCAAGACATGAGGTTCTCACGGCTGTTAAGACGTCGATGCTTGGTCTTTGGGGCTGAAAAAGGAGACAGTACGTTTCTCATAGATACTGATATCTATCTATGACTCTACATGGCGTCACAACCCAGAACAACAACACCGTCAACTTGATAGCGATTCGTCATTAAAGTAGCAAATGACGTTGTGTGTGGGAAATGAACCTTAACCAAGGACCCGACACAATGACTAAAAGATGAGTCAAGTGCCATATTACAAGTTCATTCCGCATGCCAAATGTCAGACACATCCTTCAGCTGCATGAATTACGTATGACGATTTGCGAACGATAAATTCAAAAATGGGGTGAAAAACAAACATTATTTTTGTGTGATTATGTAAGTATGTAGTGGCACCAAGAGACAATGCACATGTCTACATTTTTCGTGCTAAATTAAACTCTTGTTTGTTGAAGTACAACATGGAGACAGGTCAAACGCTCAACGTTACAGTTAAAGGAACCGGAAACGAACCTTAAAGGTCTACTTGAGACAAGAAAAATGCATGCAGTTTTACAATCGGTCTTCATGCAAGTAACAAAATCATAGCTATAGGCTAATAACTATAACTCATATTCCGACAAATGTCAGTGCTTACATAGCCTAAGATGTCGCTGAAGTCGTTTGGTAACAAACAGAATGGTGATGTCGCATAGCAACGCATTCTCTTGTTAAATTTCGTTCATCGTGACATAGCCATTTGCAGTTGCTGTTAGTTGTATACAGTTTCAACAATATTCTTACCTAATCACAATGAACTCTTTGAACGTGGCCTAATGACAACAGAGCTAATAACAATAACAAAATCCCGCAAAAATATATTTCTCTGTTTTTGGTTTTACCTCCAACTTTTTCAGGGTGTTCCATATAAAACCCTTCACGAACAAAACGACGTAAAACCAATTGCAATATAGAATTCTTGCGGCTGTATCTGATTATTGCAGATCGTGCACTGCCTGAATTAGGCACGGCCGTAATTTCAGCTGTTTTGTCGCTTGATGAGTGAAACACTTCCTACGTTCCCAAATTCTGTTACCAATCGGTGCACTGCTGCCTTATTTACTTCCTCGTCAAGATACGCTTTGCTAAATGCTTCGCAAACGATTTCGATGCGAAATAATGTTCTAGAACGAACACACGTTCTGCTCGTGTTCCCACCTGCACAGCTTCTGTGGAAGTGACGTAAGCAGGGGGCCTAGCAACAAGGTTGGTCTTAATCCGAGTATCACAGGAGAGGCTGGGGCAGTCTGCTTCTAATTTGTAATGGCTACCACTACTCTTCCGTATTCGAAAGGCCAGATATAGAATATCCGTACAAAGACTAGACATCTTCACTCAGATACATCGTGCTTTACTCAGTCCCTCCAGAGAGTTTGTCCCTTCCACGTCATTATAAATTCACAATTCTTGACTGATTAATTAATGGGTTTAAATTCAGCTCAACTGCACTGGTAACTCATCGTTCACAATCGTCCTTACTTTTAATGCTATTTATCCTACGCAGTGGAGAGAGCATAGTTAAATTAAAGACGCAAACATCTATGAATCAGATGAAGAATATATCCAAAGGAAGCAAATCTGTTCGCATTTGTATACGGCACAACAATTGCTCTGATGTAATACATTGATTTACAAACGTGATAATTTATTCTTTCAAACAGTGTACCCCAATCAATCCTCCGCGATCACGTGACCTTTTTAAGGAGGGGAACCATGCTGCCTCACCAGTACCCGACCATCATTGTATTCGATTGTCCTGGCGGCATAAGCCACGACCCCTCTAGTAATTCACCATCGAGGATTCTTCTGACACACATCCTGGCAGATATATTTCAGGTCCTAAATGATAGCAACGCCTGGCAAACAACTGCAAACCAACGAGGGAGTGAACTCTTTACCAGGGTTTTACAAACCACGGAAGGTATGCCGTGTGCAGATCAACACATCACCTCTTCACCTTCGAATTATTAATTCCACGCTGCAGCATATGTTGATAATTACTAAGCCGATCAAAGAAGACCTCCCTTATACTGAACGCGAAGGTCCGTTACTATGTTCACAAAATCCAGCCACCGAAACCCAAATTGAGCCAGGTTATTCCGACAACACCATCATATACAAATCCTTTTTAATATTATTCTCCCATCTACGCTTAGTTACGTCATGTGGCACATTCCCTTAATGGTTTTAAGCAAAAAAATGCACAGTTCTCATTGTCGCCATGCGTGCTATATGTCCTGCCCACACATTTCTTAATTTAAGTGGCCTAGCGATAGAGATATTAGATGAAAGGTACAGTTCATAAATTTATAATGAAGCATTAGGCCTACAGTTGTCCACTTTATTCAGTAATTTACCGAAAATCGCAGTTAAGTGGTTAGCACTTACTCCTGCTTCGTATTCGGAGGTCTCTGGTTCAAATGCCAGGACCGCTTCTTTCCGCATCTCTTCAAACTCATCATTCAAGGATCAACCATTCAATCAAGCATAAGCCAACATCAAAATATGCAGGCAAAAGAGAAATTTATTTTCTAAATTAAATTCTGCATGAAGTTTGATAAGTATCCATAGATTTAGTTCAAATTTTATCACCCCTGAACTGAGTCTCTCAGGTGATTATACATTGTATTACTATAGCAACCCGGGTTTCATTTATCCCGCACCAGGATTTTGATCCCTCTTTCTCATGATGCAGAAGAGAGCTTAATCCAACTACAAATCAACCGGGGGAGGCTAAAACACCGGTATTGAATTGGAACACACGAACACAGTAAGCCAAAAGCCTTCAAACGAGTAAGTAACGCCGAACCCACATTTCACATTGAAAAACGGTGTTACAATCGCGTGATATTATTAACGAAATGTTTCAATGTTGCCAATAACCAGATTCATTCTAATAATATAGAGAGATTTTTCTATCCGTTCCTTATCTCTATCTCTTATCGCCCTGAGGACGGAGGCAGTATGACCTCTGAAACGTTGGTTAACATCGACCAAACTACACAGCGCAACAACCCAGAAGACAGAAATCTTCATACTCACCGCTGTGAAAACAATCAAATCTTACAAATGCAAACAAGCGTCAAACTAATTAATGATGCTTGTCACTTGAAGTTCTACACAGACATTCAGCTCTACGTAATTTAATACTAACCAGATCAAACTATTTATTTATTTGTTATTTTAACAGCGCTCTGTGTCCTTCAGATGTTGGGTAGCGTCGAATGAGGATGGCCGAGGTGCTTTTAAATAGTGACCTGGTAATGTAATGAAAGAAAGCGGTAACGTAATCTTCCTGGAGAAAGTGTCACTATAAATCTGTCACGATAGTCGATCCGCGATTTATATTCGGTACGGATATTTTGTACATGTGCGGTGTGGCTGTTGCTTACTACTATGATACCTTACAGTTCACTTAGCAACGTGCGAACTCTAAATGTAACGGACAGCCATCGTAATGAATTGAAATGATTACGAAAAAAGGTTTGGCTGACAAGAGATACTACTCGTATGCAGTCATAGAAATTAATAAAGATTGATGCCCGTGGTAAAGGTTTAGAATTAGATATGCAGAGGTCAACGCCCTACATGTTTCTGTTTTCTTTACATGACATCTCCTACAACTCAAATTTGCTTCAGTCGAAAAGACATTTAAAAAAACACCGCAGAAAAGCATTCGATAATTGAAAATTGAATAACGGTCTAGCAGAAAGCGGTGAAAGGAATGGTAAAGAATTTAGTTTTTTAGACAAATTGTCTATGGAAATTC